GTATTCATCCTGTCTCACAATCCTGCAGCACTTCCCAAGGATAAAATTCCCAGGGGAAACAGTGAACCCAAGGCTGGGGGACTAGGGAGAGGTGAATGATTCATTTCTCAGTTGCCAAATTTAAGGAGGAGCCAGAAAATATAATAATCAAGTACATATTTTAATATGTTAAAAACATCAAAATGAATGCAAAAAATCCATGGTGAACAAAATACTAAAATGTTCATTAAAGGCAGCATCCGATCCTGCACTTGCAAGATCCTGCCTCACCCGCCTCACCCCAGTCCTAGCTGTGCTGAGCCCCTCCATGACGGAGAGACATGTTGTGTGTGACGATTCTTCTGCATGAAGTCAGTGAAGTTGCAGGGCAGAATGTGTGGCCCGATTATCGGCAAGTTAATTTCTACTAGAAATGGATCAAGAAAATTCTTCTGTACAGTATATTAAAAGGATACCTGTTATGTTTTTGAGAGTAATAATAACAACAGTGGCTAAATTTTATTGAGTGCTTACTATGTGACAGTCACTGTGCTAGGCACTTTACATAATTATCTCTTTTAACACACAGTAATCCTGTGAAGTAAGTGTTAACCGCGAGAGAAGACTAAGGGTCAGAAAGTTAAGTAGCTTGCTTGAGTTTATCCAGCTAATAAGTAGCCAGCCCAAGCTGAAGCTGCAATTTATCCACACAGGGTTTGAAAAATCACTCATTATTTGTCTGAATCCTTTGAATCCAGTATATAAATCTAGGTCAATATAGTTTTAAATGTGTATAATGCACCCAGGATGGTTTTATAGGTTTGGGTGATGATCTAACACAAACAACTTTACAGTGGAATTACTTTGAGCTAGTCATGTGTCCTGTAAGACTTATGCATATGATTCCAGAGATATTCCAATAGGAATAATTTCTTCCACCATTGCATGCCTTTCTCTGGTCACTTGCTCTGCTTTCTTCCTTGTTTTGTGGTATTTCTTGGGTTGAGAAAGAGAGAGAAAAGGAGGAGAGAGATGATGTTAATGGTGATGATGATGAAGATGTTGGTGGTGACAGTGATGTGACAATTGTGACGATGCTGGTGGTGGTGGTTGTCATGGTAGTAGCTAACATATATTGAGGCCTTATTATGTGCCAAGTACTGTGATGTGAGCTTTATTAGCATTAATTCATTTAGCATCAAAAAGCCTGTGAAAGGCTGATTAATTCCCATTTTCTGATTGAGAAAATGAGTCTCTGAGAATATAAGTAACTTGCCCAAGATCACAAGCCTAGGCAAAAGAGAGGTAAGGCCTGTGCTCTTAACAACTATGATGGAAGAAAGGGAGGGAGGGAGCGAGGGAGGGAAGGGAGGGAAGGAAAAGAATTAAATGGCACAGTTTTAGATCAACCTTCCAGGTTCTCTTTTTTTGCATTCAATTAAAAAAATTTTTTTATTGAAATATAGTTGATTTACAATGTCATGTTAGTTTCAGGTGATTTTTAACTACCCAAGAAGTTCCTGCAGGCCATAGCTATGACGGGCGTCCTTTTGGCTTCCAACTCTAACACCTTCACAGAATTATCCCCAGAGAACATACTTTAGAGGTACCCAGGGTACTGGGGATTTTATTTCTCTAGGGCTTTTTTAGGATTAAAGTAACCTTATGTAGAAAGTTTCCATTTAATATACCTGAATTAAGGGCAGGCAGCAAAGGAGTCATGAGTATACTTAAATACTTAGTATATGTCATCAGCTCACAATTTTTATTTCTAAGGGTTTAGAGTACATTTTACCAAAATTTTAGTGCCCAGGTATCAGGCTGTCTCTGGAAAAGGCATATCTGAACCAGAGACAAAACAAAGTGGGGAGAACTTAAAATGTTTTATGAATTTCCTCTTTTGAAGAATCATAACAAATCTGCTGTATTAGCATCGATCTCAAATAAAGCAAACCTGATTAATAAGCACTGTGAACTGAATGTTATAAGAACTGGCTTTCTGGAAGGGAGAATGCCCTGGTTTGTGGCATTTGCCAATTTCCATAGGGTAAAAACCCCCACTAAGGCCTATTTCTAGATATCAATGTGATACCCCTGAATGTAGAGTTGGGAAGAGATACACAAGATCAGTGTCCAGCGCATTATTACACCCTCCTAGGGAGGAGTCATTAGATGATCAGCTTTTTCACTCCAGTGCCTAATCCTGGAAAACTGCCACTTCTGGACTCACTAGCTGTGTGACCTTGGGCAAGTCACTTCACCTCTCTGGGCCTTTGTTTCCTCCTCTACAAAGGAGGAGCTCTGTGGAAGATCCCCTTCACCTCTAATGTTTTAAAGTTCTAGAAGGCAGTGACTCCTGCTTTCTCCAACATCCAAGTGCCTTTAAGCGCCTTTCTGGAAAACCAAGTTAGCGCTGTGCTTCATCCAAGAGTGCCTCCAATTTCATCTACTGAGCATAAGGTTTGGAAAGGCGTGACTTACTCCCTTTTGCCTCTTGAAATGTGTAGCCAATGGGGCATCATACATTTTTTACACTTCTTTTGCTAGATGTGAGATCCAGGAGAAAAAGCATGGATGTTCCAGGGCTTTCTTGTTCTCCTGGGGTGGGAATCTGTGAGCGTGATGCGCCGATCCATCTATCGCTACGTGCATTTCCTACCGCCCTACCCTTTCAGCAGCAGAGAAAGAGTATTGATAGCAGTGTACCTTTCCCTTTTTATTTTTTAATAGCCGAAAGCCATTTACAAGAATGGGAATTACTTATATAAAATGGGGACTGGGGGGAGTTCGTTATTTTTTTCCCCTGAAAGGTGGCATATCTCTCAGCAAAGAAAAAAAGGCATGTTGCACAAGGCTTGCTGGCAGTGATAGAAGCCAGCGCTGGTTTGCCCGTTGTCACAGCCAAAGCAAAATGCCACCTCTGCCTAGAAGCCAGAGTGCCACATTCCTCTTTTGTGTCCCTGAGATGCACTCATCATGGGGTCCTGGTCTTGTAGGTTTGGCCAGGAGGTCACCCAGGTTCCTTTGAAGGTCATTTTCCAACCCCAGGAGGTAGGAGTCGGGGGTAGGGGGCGTTGCTCATGACTCTCAAAATAGATTATTTGAGCCCCCAGATTTCATGTCAGAATAAGTCAGTAAATGTGGAATTTGAGGCCTGGGGTAAACACAAGAGATCCCCCAGCTGAGAGTAAAGTAGGGCTGTAGAAACACCCATGACTTAGTCATACTCCTGTCCCTAGCCCCTTAACAAACCCAGTTGCAGTGACATCAAGAGCTCCAGAATCCCAAGGCAGGAGGTGCCAAAAACACCTCCAAATAATCACAGCCCCCCCAAAAAAAGTTTCAGTGAAATGTTCTCACTCCTAGAGGGGAAAACCTGTCCATGCCTGAAGCAGCTTGACCAGGGCAAACCCCCTCCCTACGTGGAGTGAACTGCAAGATCTCAAGAAAAAAATCCCTACCCCCCCCACTCCGCCTGCTCCCTTGGGGAGGGACAGAAGGTTCCTGAAACTGACAGTTTCGCCTCCGTGATCTTTAAAAGAGCAGAAGTTGGCTGTGAGGCTGCAGTGCTGCCTTGATTGGGGTAGTGTGGTCTCTGTTTGCGGCTGGGCTCCAAGGAGAGCCACAATTGGCTCTGATGAGGAAAGAGCCTAGAAACGAAAGATTGCAAAGAGGGCTTCTGAACGCCATGGCTGAGACTGTGTCGTTTCTTGCAAGGTGAAACTTGGCAGTTCTACCTTGCAAGTAAAAACCCAAATTAATTTTTTTTTAAAGAAATTAAGTCAGAAACAAGGCTTCGGAAAAACTGTGAGTGTTAGGCATAAACTGATTTTGGATGATCTTTAGGTGAGAAAGGGTGGAGTTACCATCAGAAACATGTTTTTATTTATGCTTTTCAAATCTCCACTGGTGTGCGTGTGCGTGTGTGCGTGTGCGTGTTGGTTAACAGGAGAGTATGCAGCGTTTCAACTCTCTAACCACTTCTTTTTTACATCTTTTCTGCGCACAGTTCATATACGTGCCCTATAAATAAATATATAGGTCCATCCACACCTTTTCATTTTATTTGTAAATTGTTTGGTATAAGCGGCAATGCGTAATGAAACCTGGTGAAGTTTAAAAGATTAGATTTTTTTTTTTGTACTGACACTTCATAACACTGTTCATATGTCTCCGAGTGAGATTTATGAATATATGAGCAGTACTGCAAAATTATACCGCACCAGAGACTCCGTGCACCACAGGGGTGGCAGTCTAAAGTGACACAGCTTCAAGCATTTTTCACAGACAAGAAGCAAAATTTAACCCCCTTAAGGGGAAGTATGATTTCAACAGCTTGAAATGAGCTCATTTGTAGATGTTTTTTTTTCTCTCATCTTCCATAATTTTTTGGTGTTAAGATTAAAACAGATTGCACAGCCAACGTAAGGCCACATAAGCTGCCCAGAGTATAATTTGGCCCTTAAAGAGAAACCCTCCTTCATTGTCTTTATCTGAATGCCCCTCCAGGGTAAATGAAGGTAAACTTTGCCCTAAACTCCTAAGGCTCTTAGCCTGATTCCTAGAATTGTCCTGAGCAGACAGGGTCTGGATTTTTTCAAAAGGTAAGTAGCAAGTGGCATCGATTGGTTCAGTGGAGAAGCCCCCATCGTCTTGGACACCCGAGACAATGGCGTTAGGACAGAAACAGTGACTTAAATCTCAACTGAGTAAAATGAACCAACAAAAAGGAGAATCAGAAGAGCAAACAGTGGTCTTTATGAATCGATTGTATATGAGGTGTGTATAGTGGGAGAGTTCTGTTTTCGATTCAAAGTCCAAACCGATCTCTTTTCGGCTGATCTGGTACCTCGTGATTTTTGCGTCAATTACTGTTCACGATCTCTGTGCTCTCAAATTCTCTTTAACCATTTTGTTTTCCTCTTGGAACAGAGCAGGGTGCTCACACGTGGCCTGTTTCGTCTCTGTTCTTTAAATGCTCCGTGATGTGTTGGCTGGAGAACTTTTGTCTTTTTTTTCAGCAATGGTACAGCAGCTCCATGAACGTGATCTGTACCTGGCTGACGGACCGGATGGACTTACAGCTTCACATTTATCAGTTGAAAACACTAATTAGGATGGTAAAGGTAAAAGAAAACATAATGATTCTCCTTTGCAAACAGCTCACTGAAATACATTTCATTGGCAAGCTGCAGAACTTCCTTAACACAAAAAATATTAGTTTGTGTATAAAACAAGGTGATTCCTAAAACAGTATCTCAGGCAAGAAAAACCGGTGAAATCACTTTGGGATGCCTGGTCAAGTTATTACTCAGACGTCAAAGGAGAATTTAATAAAAAGGAATTTGATATTTTATCCAGACTGGAAAAATACTTTATGTATTTGCCATGCAAATATACTGCAAGGGCCGTCATGCCCTTTGCATTAATTAAACTTTCAAAAGCTGGCTTTTGGGTACCACTATGCTGTTCGCATCCATTACCAATTTCATTTATGGTTTAATTAAATAAAATTTTGCCACAATTAATTTAATAGAAATCTTTACCTCCAGCTCTTTCTAAATATGTCCTGTGATCATTATCTGGATGCAAATCAATATTGCTCCTGTAGTTAATTGAAGTGGCTTCTCTTACAACGCACGTATACAGTCAAATGTAAAGGATCGCGAAGGTGAGGTAACATACCCTGAACGTAGCTTTTCTTCCCCCTGTTCTTATGTGCGTGCCTTGGACTAATGATAATTATTTCAGCGTGAAATCTCAGTAGTTTACGTGAAATAATAAGATCACAGAAGGGGGTAAATACATTTTTGATCATTTCAGTTTCCATTTGATGTTTCACCATAGAGGGTTTTAAAACATTCGTATGCCAAAATCTCATTCAGAGCACAAAGTCTCTTTAAAAATGTTTTAATGATAAAACGGAGATGAATTTCCATTTCTTAACAGTTTGCTGAAAGTCCCCCCCCCCGCCCCCCCATTCCCCCTCCCCCCGAACCCTGCCCCCTTTCTTAGGCTCTTTTTGATTAGCGCCATTTCATTGAAGGTGCTCCCCTACCCCAGTGCTGACTTAAAACCAATTACTGTTCCGTTGAGTGTAATTAAGGAGAATTATTATCATATGCATTTGATCTCACAAAGAGTCCTCCCAGGGAAGGTTGCAGACAGCAGTGTACTGCAGCTCTTAAAAAAGAAATCTATGCACTTGGACTATGCACCCAGCCTAATTTTCATATATTTAAATTTCAGTTCCTTAAGGCAACCTCACTAACCATTGCCTGACCCCTTGCATTCCATTTTCTGGCTATAAATACTCTTAAGGGGAATTTTTTTCTGTTTGACCCTTCCTGGGTAGACATGAAAAGAAGACATGAATTTTAGTGTGTTAGAATATCTTCCCATTACTGATTTTCAGATTTTTGTTGAGACTGTTAGAATTAGCAATATTTTATTAGGAAAAAAATATAAGTCAGAGAGGAGGTTTCTTCTTAGCCTCTGCCAAAAACAACACAAACACGAACCACAGGCAAGGGACACAGAAACGTCCCTGCCGAAGGAACTCCTTCACTTTTGCCAAAAGTGGGCCCGGCTTAACTAGAGCCACAGCACAGAGGGCTGAAGCAGAATTCACCGCCTCTTCCCTGAGTACGTTACCCAGGGGCCTCCTTCTCCGAGGCAAACTTCCAGTGATAACTGGCTTTCTTTCCTGCCTCTGTATCGCTTGGTTTATTCATCCATTCATTCATTATCCAGCAAGCATTTATTCATCCAACCTTGGACAAATATTAGTTGAGCCCCTACTTGTATACTACAAGATGGAGTATTTTTAAAAAATGACTCTATGTGGTCCCTGCCCTTAGACATTCAGAGTCTGGCTGGGAAACTCACTGCTCTGGAATTTGACTAGAGAGGGGAATATTCAAGTGAGTTCTGCCTTTTTCCCATCATATTCTGGCAATCAATTCTAAGTGATTGAAAAGTACAGAAAAATCAAGTAAATCATCTGGATATCTGGTCTCCACCAGACCTAGCATTTTACTCAGCCTCCTACCCTTCCCCCTCCAGGTACAGACACAGTTCCGCTAGCTACCTAGCCTTGCAGCTTGATCCATAGTTAGGATGACCTTTGAATTTAGTGTCGAAACCAGATGACTTTGAAGAAAGAAAGAAGCTGCTACAAATAATCATACTGGGACCATAGATATAAACTGGCAAAGGGAACACGTGGTCATCCCATCCATAATCTTTTATTACTGGACTTCACTGAGCTGAACAGCATTCACTAGTTAACTCTGCAGTCATTACCACATGGGACCTTCAGGAGTGGTTGACATGGTGATTGACACTAGGACTGCATCAGATGGACTCCAAAAACCAGAAATCATAATGCAAGTGGTGTTGAAGTATGTTACCGTTCCTTCTTTTGACCCCTTAGCAAGTTTCCCGTATCAAGAGGAGAAACAAACAGCAGAATCAGTAGCTGAAATGATATGCAGCGTGATGAGGAGAGCTGTAGTTAGAGAGGGACCTTTTTCAAAAAAATGTTTTCTGAAGCAGACAACAGCCAGATGCTTCTGGTCATGTTCAATTAACGCGAAGGGATTCCTAGAAAAACAGTCCCTGGGATACCTAAGGAAATCCAAGAGAAATTGCCTGAAGGAACAAAGAAAGAACTTGTGGTTCAGCAATACCAAACCATTGTTCTTGAAATAGAGCCAAATTTCTTCCCTGAGACCATGAAGTTGTGAACAGAATAGATACACTTCTTTCCTAAGGAGACGAGAAATGTCACATGCCCGCAACATACTGATGAGGCATTAACGCTCCATCTTCCCCGTAACTGTTGCTGCCCGTGATCGGTTTCGTATACCGACACGCATATTATGTCTGTCTTGTGAATGAGACAGAGGGATACGCAGTTACAAGCCTCACAAAAACTAAGGACCAGACTGCAGCAGAAATCGTAAAATACCGTAATCATTTGATCCATTATTTATGTGTTATAGCCCCTCACACTGTCTATCATATGATATGATACAAACCTAAGAGAAAGAACCAGACCAAAAAAAAAAAGAACCAAAACAATTATGGAACATTTCCCTTTACAGAACTGAATAAACACAAGCTTATGTTCTTTGCTTTGTCTCATCTAATACAGTTTATCCTGTCACCATTTCTCATTTTCTGTCATTCAACAAATCTCAGTTTTCAGTACAAGTGAAATCTGAGCATGGTGGCTTTTCATGTGCCAGTGCATGAAGTGTGACACTTAGCTGAGGTCAGTGTTCTCACCCCCATGCTTGCCTTGTGCCCTGTCCCTCCCTTCATGGAGATGAGATCTCCCTCATCACTGCATCTTTTCCCTCCTTAGAAAACCTATAGAGATTTCCGACTGCAAGGAGTCCTGGACTCAACGTTAAACAGCAAGACCTACGAAACCATCCGGAACCGTCTCACTGTGGAGGAGGCCACAGCGTCCGTGAGCGAGGGCGGGGGTCTGCAGGGGATCAGCATGAAGGACAGCGATGAGGAAGACGAAGAGGACGATTAGAACGCTTGGGCCTCGAGTCCACTAGGCCAGAGTCTTGTAATCAATGCATGTCCTTAGTCTGTTAGTTAACCCCGTTATGGAATTTTCTGTCAACTACCATGCCATGAGATGTGTACTGATGATACAACTGCCATTTTAGCTACGTGGTACCAAGATTAGCAAACGACCTTCGACTCTACGATTTCCTGAATCCATGTCTATCTGTTTACAAGCAATATGGAGCACCATTCTTTAAATACCATTTTTGGAGAATACATAGCTCAGTTGCTAGGTGTACCCCTGTTATCAGCAGAGTTCAGTGATGCTTCATCAGTGTGCTGTGTGCGCGTCGATGGTAAATGGATGTGAGGGCGAGTACGCCAGGTACTTTCTTTGTTTCCCATATGTGGATGCCAGTTACTTAAAGGAGTACAATAAATGAATTTAAGACACATAGATCTGCTTTGTTTTTTGAAAAACAGAAAGCAAGTCTCCAATAACCAACTTTCAGTTCTTTCTGTTCCCCTAAAACTGAAAAATGAACCCTTGGTGTCCTTGTTAACCCATCCTTTCATTTATCCAGATAGTTACCCCAAAAAAGGATGGCTACATACCAATGGATTGATCCTCCTAATTGCCACGGCAAGGGCGATCCTATCATAACATCCAGCACAGTTCAGAGCGACTGTCTTCTATCAAAGTTCATCCTCTTAAATGTTATGTTTTGCTTTTATGTTTCAATAACCGTGTATGTAAAAAAAAAAAAAAAAAAAAAAAAAAAAAAAATGAATATTTAAATTATGATCCTACACTATAAATGTGTTTATAATAAGACATGGATATTTCCTTCAGTAGATTGTAACCATAATTTAAAAAAAAAAAAAAAAAAAAAAAAAAAAGACCTGAATATTTAAATTATGATCCTACACTATAAATGTGTTTATAATAAGACATGGATATTTCCTTCAGTAGATTGTAACCATAATTTAAATTATTTTGTTCCACACTGTTTTTTTATATCTGTCATGTACATTGCATTTTGATCTGTAACTGCGTGACCCTGGGGTCCTCTGCAGAGCTCTTTCTTTCTGTGTAAAGTAGATCCATCTTGCTTTTGCCTTATATAAAGCCTACAGTTATGAAAGTGTGGAAAACTGTGGCTTCTCAATAAATAACTGTTCACGTGTCCCAAGAATACTTTTGAGTCTTTTTTTTCCTCTGTCTCCTTTGAAAGCCAGAACTGAAACACGCAAAGCAGGAGGACGCGGGGAAAGAGGAGGGAAGGGGTCATTTTCATAGAGTGTTCTCGAAACTGTTGGAGTGGGTAGTTTTCAAACGCTTGTCTCCACGAGAAACAGCCTAAAATTCCATTAATTCAGACACCACTAATTCAGAATCTGTGGGCATTTGGACATGTTGGGCTGATTACACTTGCATTATAGGATAAATAAGGGTTTGCTAAGCAAGAGAGTAGTGTAAACGAGAGAAATGTTTCTCCTGTATGAAGAGAAGGCCAACAAACTGTTTTTAAGCACCACTTTAACAGCAGTGTTTGCATTCAAACAAAGCGTGTGCCAATTATATATGATTCTTATATATTTGTTAAAGCATTTTACAAGATTCTCTAAGATATGGAGTACTCTTTTCGCTCCCCAGTCCTTGTCAGCCGTACACTCACCTAAGTTTAAAAGAAACCCAACGTTTTGGTAGCCTTACCTGTTTTATTTGTGCCTGCCACTAAATCAAGCTGACCTTTCCTTGGGGATGACTGCAGTTTTAGAGAAATGACTACTTTTTCAATAGGACCAGGCGGAATTCTCACCAGTTGGTCTCGACACATCAACCCCTCTAAATAGCATGTCTCTCTGTTTAATCCTTGAGGTCTGCAGGGACAAATCACCAGTACTTCCTGCCCTTAGTACTTCAAACAACTCCCATTTATTGAGCAACTATTTTACGCCAATAGTTGCCATTATTGGGCAACTATTTTATTATCAAATGTATTTATTTTATACATCCTGCATGTCTTACCGCATTCAAATCTCACAACAACTGTAAGAGGAGAGGACTGTTATTATCCTCATTATAGACGAGAAAATTGAGATCAGAAAGCTGAAGGTAACTTGCCCTATGGTTACACAAGTCCACTCAGAAACGTTAGAGATACTAGCATAGAACTGTTCAGGTGAATGATGGGGATATAGCATCAGGTGCGAAAAATCTTTGACCACCTAACAGCACGAAGTTAAGTCAGTGTGGCAAAGGTAGAATTTTGTGAAATATACTTGTATTAATGATATTTTGAGTTGCAAAACTGAAGCATATTTCTCTCAACAATTAAAAACAACTCAAAGATGCACAAGAGAGAGCATCGCCCAGTGTATAGGATTGGAAAAAGGAAGAAAATGCTCAGGAGCCTGGGGGAGTGAGTGAGATAAGTAACCAAGAGGCATATAAAGAGAAACAAGTTAGACAAGACCTTAAAACCAAGTTTGTTTGTTTGTTTTTTAAGTTTCCTTCAAAAGAAGAATTCACCACAGCCTAGCACTGAGGGTCCTGTTGGATACCATCCCCCAGCGGGACTGCCCCGGAGGGAGGGCTGTGGAACGTGACATCAGAAGAGCTCAGAGACGACAACAACAACAACACTGACTAAGTGCAAGTCTCAGGTTATCATTGCCACAAAACAGACTCAAAACAGAGCTCTAGCTCTGGGGACCTAGAGCTTTCTTTTTCATTCCTTTGCGATGTAATCTGAAGTTTTCTTTTCCTTTTTTTTTTTTTTTAAATTAAAATACGATATACCTGCAAAAGAGTGCACATATCCTAAGCATACAGCTCCGTGATCTGTGAAAGTGGCCACGCTCTCTGAATCGTCACCAGGTCAAGAACTAGAACACAATGAACACCCCCAGATAGACCCATGCTGGTGCCCCTTCCCAGTCTCTCCCCCTCCTTAGGGGTAATGGTTTTCCAAAGGTAACCACTATCCCGGTTTCTAATTGCATCAGTTAAATTGAAACCTTCGTGCAATTAGACTCACAGTACCTATTCTTCTATGCCTGGCTTCTTTTTGCTGTATGTCATACTCTTGGTGTAGCTGTGGTTCATTTCTTCCCAGTGCTCTATAGTATTCCAGTGTATGACTATACCACAATTTACTTATCCATGTTAACGTTTTGTTTTTAGTTTGGGGCTCATAGGAATCATACTGCCATGAATTTCTTCGTATGTACCTTGTGGTGCAATTGCTGGGTCAGAGGGTAAAGATATGTTGCTCATTTTTAGGAAATACTGCCAGTTTTCCACAGAACAAGAACAAAGTGACACTCTTACCAGCAGAGGATCAAAGCCCCTGACAACAGTAGGTATTGGCCTTGACAGTACCAAGTACCGTCACTAATTTTGGTCATTCTGGTAAGTGGTGCAGTGCTTTATAATTGTAGTTCACTGATTACACAAATGGAGTTGATTGCCTTTCAACACATGTATTGGCAGTTTGGGTAGCTTCTCTTGTGAAGTGCATGTTTACGTTTTTTTCCCTTTTCTTAAAAGAGGAAAATTCCTGAGTTATTTGAAGACTGGTAGGGAAGAGGCCTTAGGAAAAAGTGCCAGATGGATGGTGAGAGATCGAGATGTAGAGGGAAATGTTAACCTGATGGAAAAGCATTCACTATACTAACAATCAGTCCACAAAGAGTTGAGTCCATACTGGCCGGGGAGTGCTGGAAACACCCAGGCTCTCTCTCTAACCCATTCCCTCTCATTAGCCAGTGGGACCTTTCTGAAAGGTAACTGCACCCTTGTCCATCCTCTAATTAAAAGAATTCAGTGGCTCCCCTTGATCACAGAATGAAGCCCAAATTGGTTAAGGTGACGTACAAGGGCATGTATGATCTGATCCTCACCTACCCCTCCAGCCTCCTCTGCTAACCCTACACCTCTCTCTCTCTAGGTTACAGCTACCCCTGCCATCTTTCACTTGCTGTGCACCGTGATGCTTCCCACCTGGGCCCCGCCCTCTGAGCCCTTCATCTCTTCCTTCACATCCCAGCTAATTGAATTTGACTTCCCCAGGGAAGCCCTTGCAAACCCTGCCCTCAGTCCAGCATCTGTTTCCCTGGTATATATTCTCATGACGCTCTCTACTTCTCTTTCATACTATTCATCACACTATTCATGGAGGGGTTATCTTCATCATTGCATGTTTCATGTAGCTCCTCTCCACTTCAGGCGGATGTGATCTGTGCCAGCTTCCCTACTCTATCCTTACTGTAGTCACTCAATATATAATTAATAAATGAAGGCTGAAAGTACAAAGATGTTAAGTCATCGAATTACTGCTCTCTTAGAACCTTTAGTCTAGCCGTTATGACTCTTCAAAAGACTTATATAGACTAAATACCGTAAGGTTCAGAGGAGGGTTCAGAGGAAGGAGAAGGAAAGGAAGGCTTCCTGGAGGAGGGGGTCTTGAAGAGCCCATAGAGAAGACAGGAAAAGACATGGACCAAAGCAGGGGGAGGTGAGGGGATGTGCCACTTGGTTGAAGCTGTTTTTTTCTCTGATGGATTCCCAGTGCCTGTAGTAAGCAGTCAACAAATACATGTTGACTTAAGACATTAATGAATATGCTCAGTGTGTTAGGAGAGCCTGGCTTCATGGAAAGATTTATGCAGGGGGTTGGGAGAGATTAAGATGGGAAGGGTGGATTAAGGTTTCCAAGGAGGACATCTAGTTTCATTTAGTTTGGGCTTATTGTTCCGCATAACAAAGCGCTAACTAGGATTTTTATTTTTTCAAAATATTTAAAGAAATTTTTTAGGTTAAAAAAAATCAGAGCAGAATTCTATGAAACAAGAAGTTGAAGTCTCTCCCTTCCCCAACCCATTTCCCCAAAGTAGCCATTGCTAACAGATGGGCATATATTCTTCCAAATATGTTCAAATTATATATAAGTATATTGGATATATATTTATATATATAATACATATATCCAATATCCAGTTGGATATATTTATATTTTTACATATTTATATATATATATATTTAAAAATATATTTTCACAAATGGGATTGAGCCTGAGCCTACTAAGGCACATCATATTTTTCACTTATCAGTGTAGGGCCATTTCCATGTCTGCACATACAGATTTTCGGTATGACTTTTAATGCTTGTGCTGTATTTAAGGAGATTGTCTAATCAAAGAAGAAACAAGAGCAAAATAAGGTAAACTAAAAATCCAGGATGAAATGGAGGATGGATCAAAACATAATGGTGGAAATGAGCCATCTGTGGAAGTGACCCAAGAGTCTGTTTGAAATGTGTGACTCAAGAATTTCTGAAACACCCCAAATTCAACCCCAGTCTAACTGCACTGTATTATCATGATTTTTTTATGTGTCTGTCTCCCCGCTAGACTGCCAACTTCTTGAGGTCAGGAACTATGCA